CCCCCCCCCCCCACAATAAAATCTACAGAGCTTTGATTATAAAACTAAGAATTTAAATACAATTTTACTAAGACATATTGGAAGATATAGTGTCAATATGTACAGTATATGCATTTTATGTACGTAGTAGTCTGTTATACTGTTATAAAAAATCTAATTGATTACATTACAAGCTATTGGATTTTCATCTTCTGCACTAAATTGCATATTTTTGCCCAGTTTGGGCTGTTTCATTAAAAAAAGGGTGATTTTTCAGGATATTATTTCATATGTCAGACTTTACAGGGTTAATACATGTTTTGGTCTTATTGTGCACAATTCAACACCACACCTTATTCTAAATAAAAAAGGTTTGTTTTTGTAATCTATCATAAAAATGTATTAACTCTTAAGCATCTTTTTCCTTTCTGCTTTATGTGAGGAAAATTCTAATTCTCATTTACTTTTATTGTGTTTTTCAATTTCTATCAGATAATGTGCCCTAAATGTATTTCTTGATCGGTTACTGTTACTGTTTCTTTCCACAGACTCTTCTTCATGAGATGATCCATGCTCTTCTCTTTGTGACTCAAAACAATAGAGATCGAGATGGCCATGGTCCAGAGTTCTGCAAACACATGAACAGAATCAACCAAGCAAGCGGCACTAACATCACTGTAAGATGCATTTCTGATGTTCAATATTAAACAATATTCAGTTTGACGTCACCGTTTCCAGGATCCAAATGCTATATCGTATCCCAAAAGTAATAAATAAATGGTGCTCATAAACAGCTGTCGAGATAGTTTTCTCAGTTGAAACGGAGTAGATGATCTTCTTCTCACAGATATATCACTCCTTCCACGATGAGGTGGACGTGTACAGGCAGCACTGGTGGCGCTGTAATGGACCCTGTCAGAATCACAGACCATTCTTTGGATACGTAAAGCGTGCGATGAACAGGCCTCCCTCGGCAAGAGACCCCTGGTGGGCTGAGCACCAAAGGACCTGCGGTGGAACATACACCAAAATCAAAGAGCCAGAGGATTATGGGAAAACAGGCAAAAGTGATAAAAAGAAAGACAAGAATCCTTCTGATAAGACCTCCAAGAATCCGAAGCCTCCAAGCAGCACAACAGGTGATCTAGTCAACATCCCCACGTTATTATCTCTTTTCCCACCAGTGTTTTTAAAAATGTTACCAGCCACTGCCAGCATTTTTTATCATTTGCACAAAATTTTAATGGCCCCCAGAATATTTTGTTGCATGATGATCTGAACATGCAATATGTCAAAAGAAAGAACAGAGCCTCTGCTTTTAAACAAAAAAGAGCAACATTTTGAACAAAAAGCTGAGAAAATCGCCTTTTTGTCAAAGACTTCATCTGGATCAGATTCAGATCGATGATCAAAACATAGATGGAGTAGATCGAGTCCATCAACACATCCAATGCTTGCACTGTTCTATACCACTTCCCGGGTCGATATTTCATTCAGTAACATTAGGCGGTTTTGATTCATATGCTGTTTAATGCTTGATGATCGCGTTATTTTACATATGTATCTGCTTACATACACGATCGCTTGTTTCTGCTTCTTCGCCGTGTTTTGATCTAGAGATTTAAAGGGTTAGTTCACCCAAAAATGAACATTCTGTCATTAATTACTCACCCTCATGTCGTTTCAAACCCGTAAGACCTTCGTTCATATTCGGAACACAAATTAAGATATTTTTGATGCATTCTGAGAGCTGTCTGACCCTCCCATAGACTGCAATGTAATTACCATGATCAAGGTCCAGAGACGTAGCAAGGAGATCGGTAAAATAATCCATGTGACATCAGGGGTTCAACCGTAATATTACGAAGCTACGAGAATACTTTTTGTATGCAAAGAAAACAAAAATAACGACTTTATTCAACAATTCGTCTCCTCCGCGTCACCCTGGTGCCATTTTGGAGA